TGCAGCTGCAGCTGATGCCAACGGCAGGCTCAAGAGAGACCACGGCCAGAATCACCCAGCGCAGCCCTCAACACCCGATCCACAGAAAAAAACGGAGATATGAGTATCCACTGTCATTTTAAGAAACTGAGATATTGGGGTTAGTTATTATGCAGCAGCGAATGACTGATACACTTGTCGTACCCTGGATATTAGGAGCCTCCGTTTGGTAAACCTCAAGCGGAAGGAGAAGGTGCTCCCTGGTGACCCACTGCCATGACTCTGAGAGGAATTTGGCAGGGAGCAGTGATCTTTAGAATCTGCCCATAAGCTGGAAGTTAGCACCAGTACTCTTGTAACTACACTTGTAACTGATCTTTGCCTCCATGATGGAAAACACTTGTATCTTTGATCATTTATGGAACAATTCTTGTGATTAATCCTCACAGTGAAATAATTATGTGGTTCAGCAAGGAGATGACTGACTCCATGTCACACTGTGGTTAAGGGAAAGTACTCTGGACTCCTCAGAGCCCAGACAAGGACAGTGAGCAGACAAGGAACTAGCCCTGGGCGGGGAAGGGGGAGGACCCAGTCTCTACTTCAAAAAGTTGAAGGTACAAAGTAGGAAGAGGTGGACCGAGGGCCCAGTGGAAGCAGAAGGTGATGGTGTCAGGAGACCAAAGGGGAATATTGCCTTGGGGGAAAAAAATGAAGTCTCTCTTTTCTTTAAAAGGATGAGTATTCCACAGAAAGTACATCACAGTGATTAAGACCAAAGTTGATGTCGCACAGACTTGGGTCTGAATCTGGCTCTGCCACTTCTTAACTAAGGATCAGTTGTGGTCATTCATCTGCTTTAGATGCCCCAAATGTGCATCAATTTATGTTTGAGTGGTCCCCTACCTTATGAGACTGAGTAAGAGAGCATATCTCCCTCTCTGAAGACAGAAAGACCATAATTTTGCTTCCCAGACCCACTGGGACAAGGACATGTGACCTGCAGTCCCAGGGTTTTCTCTGCTCAAGATCCCAGTTCCAGGATCAACTCGCCCATGGCTCATGGGCCCTCATCAGTATTTGTGGAGTTATTTTCTGTGGTTAGCAGTTCTCCCAAAGGGTCATGGAGTACAGACAAAAACAATTTTACTCCTACTACATCCTCTTTGAAGTGAAACTAATAGAAGAATCAGATGAAAATTTAAATTTTTGTCATAAGACTTTCAAGGAAGTAAAATTGGAACACACAAAAAAGACTTTCTGGAACTCAAAGCAGTATGATCAGTTTAAAATTGTATTCAGGAAATGAACAAAAGATTATCTGTAATAACAACTAAATTGATGATCAATCAGATGAAATGGAAGAGATATTTCATCATGGGAAAGAAAAGACAATGAAATGAGAACTGTTTGCTAGGAGGCTATTTCCTGCTCTTTCATCACACTCTGATGAGAGGACTTCTGCACACCCCAAGAAGAAAAAGTATTTTCAAGAATGCTGCCACGCCACCTCTCAAATAATGAGCTCAAGAATTCGAAAAGAAACATGCAACGTTGCAATTAGAGACACACTAGAAGAAAAATTCTCAGAACTGAAAAAAAGTGTGAGTGTTTTAGATGGAAAGGATTCACCAAAATCCAGGCATACCCATGAGAAAAAGCACATATCCAGACACCAATCAGTTTTCAAAAAAATTTACATTCCCTGAATAAAAAGGCAATATCAGGATTTCCAGGAACATGACCAAAGAGGTGAATCGATCTCAGCAATGGAAACAATAAAACACTGATGAAAGAAATTGAAGAGGACACACACACACACACACAATGGACTTTCCACGTTCATGGAATGGAAGAATCAATATTGCTAAAATGGATGTGTTGGGGATCTCATGAAGAGGGAAGGGAGACCAAGAGAGTAGAGGAAAGGGACTGGGAAAGGGAGGGAAATATTGTTAAAATGTCTATATTACCCAAAAATCAAAATTTCAATGACATTCTTCACAGAAAAAGAAAGAAAAAAATCTAAAATTTGTATGGAAACACGCACACACAAAAAATCAAAGCAATCTTGAGTGAAAAGAGCCAAGCAGGAGATGTGAAGCTGCCTGACTTGAAAGCATACTACAAATTTATAGTAATCAAAACAGCATGACACCCACATCAAAACAGACATATAGACCAAGGGAACAGAACAGGGAGCTCAGGAATAAACCCACCCACCACACTCAACCGATCCTCCCCAAGGTGCTATGAACACAGGCTGGTTAGGGTCAGTGATGGGAAAATTGGATAAGCACAGTGCAGAAGAATGAAAATAGACCCCTGCAGATCACAAAGTACAAGAATATGAACTCCAAATGCATCAAAGGCTTCAATATAAGACCCGAACTATGAAAGTACTAGAAGAAAACAGGAGAGGAAGAGAGTCTGGAGGTTGAAAGTGAAGGATAGAATGTTGCGTGAGTTGATCTGGCACAAAAGGATCTCACTCACATGTGGAGTATAAAATAGTTGATCTCATAGAAGTTAAGAGTAAAATCGTTTCCAGAAGCAGGGGAGCTTAGCAGGCAGGGAGGGATGATGACAGGTTGGTCAAAGGATACTCAGTTACAGTTAGATAAAAGTAAGCAAGTGTTGTTGTTCAGGTGCACAGGAGTGGGGCTACAGATAACAATAATGTACCCTACACTTCAAAAAGGTGAGAAGAAAGGACTTTGAATATTTTTACCACAAAAATAAATGAAATGGTAAATGTTTGAGGAAGTAGATATGCTTGCCCTGATTTGAAATTTATGTATATATATATATATATATATATATATATACACACACACACACACACACACATACTAAAGCATCATGTGCACTCCAGAAATACATATAATTTTATGTGATTAAAAATTTTCCTAGGGCTGGGATTGTGGCTCAGCAGTAGAGAGCTCGCCTACCACTTGCAAGGCCCTGGGTTCGATCCTCAGCACCACATAAAAATAAATAAAATAAGATATTGTGTCCAACTACAACTAAGAAAAATTTTTTAAAAAAATTTAATTCCTAAAATATAGAAGAAACATAAAAGAAACTTACAGGCAAAAGATACAAGACACTAATAAAGGAAAGAGGATCCAACCAGCATCAGACTCCTCATCTGCAATTCTGACAGTTGGAAGTCCAGTACAATAATTTGTATAGACTATTGAAAGGGCTGCCAATGTTGGGACAGATTCGGAGCCAGAGAACAATTCCTCTGTTAACCAACACTGAGAGTGGAAGTGGGACTCAAGGGGAAGACAAGTGGAATGTTAGGTAAAATCATATGTCAAAATCCACACAGAGGGCTGGGGCTGTAGCTCAGTGGCAGAGCGCTTGCCTAGCATGTGTGAGGCCCTGGATTTGATCCTCAATGCCACCTAAAAATAAATAAAATAAAGGCATTCTGTCCATCTACAAGTACAAAAAAAAATGGCTGGTGTCACCTACATCTAGGTGGTAACACAAAAATTTTAAAAAATGCACAAAGAAACCTCAACAGTCATAAAAATTATGCACTGCAAAATAAATCAACAAAATAAGCGTGTAAATAAAAACTACTAGAAAGAAATACAAGGAGAACTGGATTAGCTATGTAATCCTATCTGGGGAATTTTAACACAGCTCTCTGAATAGTTCATACTTCAAATAAATAGAAAATAAATGATACTATTGGGATTTAATTAAAAGGGTGAAAAAGCTTAATTGAATAGAAGACTTTTGTCCCAGATCATATCAAAGGTCCTGATTCTTTGGTAAAAAGAAAGGATTACTAAATTCCCCAAACTAAAGGCGAACAGGTCCTAGTTTTTTGTTTGTTTGTTTGTTTGTTTGTACCAGGGTCATACCCAGGAGCTCTTAACCCCTGAACCACATCCCCAGCCCTTTCTATGTTTCATTTTAAGACAGGGTCTCACTAAATTACTTAGGGTCTCACTAGGTTGCTGAGGCTGGCGTTGAACTTGTGATCTCCTGTCTCAGCCTGGTTGTGATTACAGGCGTGAGTCACTGTGCCCAGCAAGGTCCTAGAATTTGATAGTCATCCATTAATACTAGAAACTAACCATGAAATGAGAAATCAATCAATCAATCACCTAGAAACTTCTCCAGAACAAGAAAATTGGGCACTTCCTCTACAGCTGTATTAGTACTTCTGAGGCCAAGAAGGATGTGGGCAGAGATTGTGTGGCTCGTTCTGCAAGGGCTGATCACAGGGTGAACAGGGAGCCAGGGAGAGGCAAGACTGAGGTAGACCGAAGTGACCTCGGGTCCAGAGTCGGTCCTGTGTGTGGGTGGCTCCTCTACTGGCTATGCCCTCTCCCTGGATGCCTTTTGTTGAGCAGCAACGCTGTTATACTTCTCTACCCTGGGAGGTGGGCATTTCTGATGGTATCTGTCCCCAACTCTCCTGCCTGCTAGTCCTTCCCCTTCTTTCGACCTAGGGTTCTCATCTATAAAACAAGGTCTGACCTACTTAATTCCAAAGACCCTGATTGTAAGAGTCCCCAGGATTATGCATTGTATAAAAAAAATGTGTTCATTCTCTTCATTGAAATATTTCTTCTTGAGCCCCATAAGTTTAACCTCCTAGCCCTTGAAACAGTCGAGAGACTGTTTCTGCCCCTCTACCCCACCAGGAGTCTTCAGTTGGTCCCAAAGCAGCGTGAGAAGTGTTAGGACAGAGAGGAAGGGGTCTTGAGCAGAATGATCTCAACACACCCATGGGGGCAGGGAGGGGGCAGGAAGCCTTCCTAACATTGCAGGTGCTCTGTACACACTAGGAGAGAGCTAGAATAGCGTGCTGAGCGGTGAATCATCAGTTAGTGCTACTGGCCAAAGGACCCACATTCCTTTATACCTCTCTGCATTGCTCATTACCCATGGCTACCCTCTGGACTCCACCCCCTAGAACAAATAAAAACCTGAGTCCAGAGCCCCACTGCAGAAGGTTCTGGACTTCTGCATCTGCCGCATCCTTCTCCAAGACCATGAAATGCTGGCTGCTGACTCTTATTGTGGTTTTGGTCCTGTTCCAGATGTTCCCAGGTAAACAGAACCAAGGAAGCCAGAAAAGAGAACAGGTTGGGGAGCTTCATATCTTTCCACTGCTTAGACGGGGTTTGCTGGGGTGGCTGAAGTCGGCATGATCATAGCAGAATGCTTTCCTCTCAGGACAGACCCGAGTCCCTATGTTGGGAGTACATCTGGCCCACAGACCTGGAGCCATGGAATAGGGCAGTGTTTTCTGAGAAATCCCTTTGGTATCTGACTGCTTCCCTTGGTACTTGGCATCAGTCAGTGTCCCAGTGACCCAACTGAGAGGCTGCTCTACCTCAGCAGGTTTTCGATCTCTACCAGATGGTGAGCCCTGAGCCTTTCTTAGACATTAAGTTCTGTTATTGCTTCCTACAAAACCCCCATTCTCCTATTCTGGGATGAAAGTATCTTCGGGACAGTCATGTGGAAGAAAGTACAGACTTTTCTGTTCCTCTCTAATCAAAAAAAGTCTGTGATTTTGTTAATGATTTATAATAAGATTTCATAAACAAATTGTCAGAGCTTTGAAACTGTTTATAAAGACCTAAAGACCGCTATGATTTTTTAAACAAGGTATTATTCCCCTACTTCTGAAATCTAAAACCTTTTCTTTATGTATATATAAATCCATATAAACATGTATATACCTATAGTTTTAACCAAAAATAAAAGGTAATTATACTTTATGTTCAAAAGGTTTTTAATTCAGCAGTTATGTGCTTGACATCTTCCTTGTCAGTACGTAGAAATCTGCCTCATTGCTTCTAGAAGTCATTTGCTATTCTATTAGATAGGTAGATCATAATTTATATATCTAATATCCACTTAAGGTAAAATGGGACCTTTCCAACTTGCACACTTGGGCAAAAATTTCTAAATAAGTTCATAGAAGTCAACTTGTTAGGAAAAGAGTAAGATTGTAATTTTGGTTTTCATAAGCATCTTTTCTAAGTGTCCTTTGAGTCATACATACCTAGAAGAAATCAATTGCTTTCCAGAGCAAATGAGCTTTAGAAAACTCAAATGAACATTTGTTTATACAAACTCAAAAGCATCTGGGTTATGTCAACTTCTCAACTATAATATTATTGTGAAAGGGAAAAAATACTTTGAATGGTGAAGGAAAAGAACTTTGAAGCTAGAATGTTATATCCATCACACTGCTTTTTAAATATAGGGACATAACAAAAATATTCTCAAGCATATAACATCTCTAAGGTTTGTCACACAAAGATCCACTTTGTAAACATTCATGGAGAAAGAACTCAGATCAAAAGAGAAAAAAAATCCAGAAGGCTGCTGGAAAAGGTGTGATGGGTAAGAATTATCAATTATTTCGAATTTTATAGTTGACTTTAAATCTAGGCTAGAGGGCTAGAGATGCAGTTTAGTGGTGAAGTAATAGAGGGCAAGGGGTAGTGTGGAAGGGCCCAGCACCACAAAAAGAACAAAAAACACAACCAAACAACAACCAAACATACACACACACACACACAACACTAAACTAGACTAGAAAGAAGGATAAATGATTCCATAATTGCTCATAAGTTTCAGATAATCAACATGGTCAGAAGAGAATGATCAAGACTCACTAAAGAGAAAGCCAACAATATGACCACTGCTCAAGTAGTTTGTGAAGGGGTGAGATGTAATCATGGAAAAGTTTCAGAAATCAGTCATAGCCCAGGGCTTTGCACAATTGCTTATGGTATAAAAATAAAAATAAAATCAATACACTTTAAACCAATCAAGGGAACCCTTATTCAGCTAATTGAAAGTAGTAAACAAGTAAATAAAATTATAATAGAAGACAAAATTACAGAAATAAGTATTTTTAATTTTAATTTTAATTACAATAAATATAATCGAGTTAAGTTTACCAATAAAAGCTCACACTCTTTAATGAGCTAAAGAAAGCTCAAATTATATGCTGCTTAAAAGACACAGACACATTTGATATTTAAAAACTATGGAAATATTAAAATAGTAAAGTGCCATTTTAGGCAAATATTATCTAATAGAAATCTGGAGTATCATTTCCCAGTGTATTTATTTCACATTTCTTTAATTAAAGGACACGCCTTTACAAAATTCATTCTGTGCAGTTTTGATTTGCGTTTCTCTAATTGTCAGAGATGTTGAACATTTTTTCATATATTTGTTGACCGATTATTTCTTCTGTGAAGTGTCTGTTCAGTTCTTCAGCCCCATTTATTGATTCGGTTATTTGGGGATTTTTGTGTTAAGTTTTTTGAGTTCTTTATGTATTCTGGAGATTAGTGCTCCATCTGAGGTGCAGGTGGCAAAGATTTTCTCCCATTCTGTAGGCTCTCTCTTCACACTCTGGATTGTTTGCTTCTTTTTTTTTTATGTGTGTGTGTGTGTGTGTGTGTGTGTTGCTGGGGATTGAACCCAGGGCCTTGTGCATGCGAGGCAAGCACTCTACCAACTGAGCTACATCCCCAGCCCCTGAATTATTTTCTTTGCCGTGAAGAAGTGTTTTAGTTTGGTACTATCCCATTTACTGAGTCTTGATTTTATTTCTTGCGCTCTAGGAGTCTTGTTAAGGAAGCTGGTTTCTCAGCTGACATGATGGAGAGTTGGCCTACATTTTCTAGTCCTGTCTATCTAAGAGAAAACAAACAAAAAAAATTTCATATCAAAATCAACAGCCACATGGAGATAGATAGATGGTTGCTGGACACTTAAGTAATGAAGCCTTTAAAAGTAAAACTTGTTGGTTGCCCTGACTCCATCTTATGACTTACTCATAGGTTTTCTGTAAAATTACCCAAACGTCTTTCACAAATCTTTCTCAAAAATAAAACAAAACATATCCAGCTACTCATGGGGATGTTTCCTCCTCAGATTCTTTCAACTAATTGGTTGAGACTTTATTAATGAGTAGATATCATCTAAAGATATTCCAGGCTTTATTTATGAGGCACTGATTGTCCCAACCAGCAACATCAGCACCCTCTGGAATCCCATTAGCAAAGTTAATTTCCACATCTACTGAATTAGAAACTCTGGGGCTGGAACTCCGTGATTTGTATTTTAACAAGCTCACCGGAGAGGCTCTCATGCTTGTTCAGGGATGAGAACCAGTAAATAATCCACTACAGCTGTGTTTCTGAAGTCTGTAGCTAAAAAACAGAACCAAAAAAAAAAAACACTTTTTTTTTTTTAGAATTATAATTGATACACAAAACGCTGTATATAGTTAGTGTATAAGACTGGGTGAGTCTGGAGAGAAGTATTCACACATAACTATTACAAGTTATGCCATCTACCTGTCCATCTCCTCTAGAAGATTCCTCCTGCGTAGACCAATTGCTCTAAGTATATTTTAAGTGAAAATTGTAGGCCCAACTTAAATTGAAATCCCTGGGTCTGTGGTTCAGCAAATGCAAAGAACTCAGCTGAGATGAAATTGAATGAGCCTATTTTGAACAACGAATTTGACGTGATCATTATCACTTCTCACCCAATAACCCAAGTTCCCTGTTAGCTAGCAAGTTTCTTTCGACAATGATGGTGAGATGTTTGGAGATGCGCCAGACCTTCCTTCATTCACATAATCTCCCTTAACCAGCAAGCACAGGGCTGTTGGGAGTATGGTCACCCCAACATCACGACGATGAGCACCAACAGCTTGAGCTAATTCACTGCCTCTGTTTGCTCTTCTCAGTCCACAGGAGCCAAAAATCTTGCTGGGTCATAAAAGGACACTGCAGGAAAAACTGCAGATCTGGTGAACAGGTGAAGAAGCCATGTAAACATGGTAACTATTGCTGTGTTCCCAGCAAGACAGATTCTCAACTGCACAGACCCACCAAGGAGACCCCACCCATGGTGCTGATGATTTCGTAGTAACTATCCAAGATGAGTAGAGAAGGAAGTAAACAACTAGGGTTAGTCTTTCAAACAGTTTGTCTGTAAAAGGAAGAAGAGGGTTGAGATGACAAAGAGGGCCACGAGTGTGCCACCATCTGCATGACTTTGGGTGACTTGAGATAATACGTTTCCAAGGACAAAAAGACTTAAATGTTGTTAAATTCAGTCCCGTCTAATGCAAATCATCTTTGCACAAGTATCACCACTCCTGTGGACAAACTCTGTAAGTAGATTATGAGGGGGCTGCAGAAAGAAGACCAATCATTTAACTGCGTATCTGTGTTGCAAACCTCATGTGGCCCACCTTAACAACCTGTGATAAAAATGAATGAGGAAGAAAAGAACCATCCCTGCTCCCACATCTTGAATCCCAGACCCATGCTTTTTACTATGGGGGAAAAAAACAAAAACACCATACATTAGAATCTAGACCTGAACATATCTTCAGGTTATGCTTATTAAAAGTAGAAAAGTCTTGAAATTATTTGGGGGTGTAAATTATGTCTTTGTAGGTCTGGCTTTGTAACTGTCACTCTGGGGCATGTTGAAATCCAACTCTAGAGGAATTTAGCAGCAAACTCAGGGCAGACTACATTAGGGTCTGCAGGCAACGGAAAGCTACTCAGACATAAGAGACGGGCTCCTAAACAATAAAGATTCTAAATTACCAGTTCCATCTGATTCCACACATTTGTCAAGTGTCAGGACCCAGTCCTTCCTAATCAATACTTTAATTTTGACATGATCAAACGTGTAAGTCTGTGAACTAACCTGAAGTTGAAATCTACAAACTGCACAATTAATTGCGGAGTCTGATTTTCAACGAGCCTGAAATGAAAGTTTTTGATTATGACTTCTGTTGAGAGATTAAAGCCTTGATTTTGTTGGGTTTATTCTGTGAGTTCTCTCCATTGTTTCCAAACACCATCACACCCCAGGGGCTTGGGAGTCATCTTTCCTACCATAACTATCCAGTTCTGGACTCTGTTTGGACCCCAAGAACTTGTGTTAGTAACTCAGTCTCAAGCAACAACAATAGTGATTGAATTAATTATGATACCATTGCATGCCATGAATTATCAATGTATCACTTGTCCATTGGAAGGTAACACAAACCTCACATGTGAGGGTCTATTCCCATTATCACTCCTGATACCAAGTTATTACACAGTCAGAACCCCCCCACACAGACACACACACAAGGCATTTTGACCAAGATTTTATACATTGGTTTATCAGCTGTTGGAGGACAAACAGAGCAAAAGAGAACCCCCAGGTAGCCCAAGAAGACAAATGCGGGGAGTAGCTACCACCTCAGAGTTGACAGGAGGAGTTTGAAGTCACCGTGACCTAGGAGCTCAGAGGACAGAGGCTGCAAAGGTGGGCCTCTTCTTTCAGACAAGGGGTGATCCTCGCATGTTACAGATTCTTTTTTTAATATTTATTTTTTAGGTGTAGATGGACACAATGCCTTTATTTTATTTATTTATATGTGGTGCTGAGCATTGAACCAGGGCCCCACACATGCTAGGCAAGTGCTCCACTGCTGAGCCTCAATCCCAGCCCTGTTACAGATTCTTATAAAGAGGCACCAGGGTGGAAATTTATTCGAGTATTAAAACAACAACAACAACAACTAGAGACTAAAAGTATTTGCTGCTCCTGGGGCAAACAGCCACCCTGAGACAAAGTTCCAGTGCTGGAGCGATAGAAGGACACAGGGTATAGGAGGGCAGTGAGCTCTCCCTTCCTGATCCACCCCTGGTGCCTCTCATAGAACAGAAGGCCAGATGGCAGAGTGCCCGGGAGATGTGTGCAGAGTCCTAGCCCCGGAACCCAGAAGGAAGAAGTTGAGAGATGGTGGGTAAATGATCAGCCTATGTGCCCACAAGACGGGGCCACATCTAGAGGAAAGCATTTGGAATGGAAAAGCAATTAAACCTGTGCAACTGCTATAGTCTCCATGGTCCACTGAATTCATGGTCAAATCTCCCAGTAATGAACAACCATGAAGACCCCGGGGCCAAGAGAAATTCATTTCACACAGATTGAAGTCCCTACCAGCCACAAAACCTGAACCTTCCATCAGCTATTGGGTGCCTTCCTTGAGGTGAACCAAGGGTGGCGTTCCATGGAATAAGATCAACCTGCACCTGAGACTGAATTCACACCTGCGCTGCAGCCCAAGGCAAATTCTGCCAACCACCGACATCCTGTCAGGACAAGGAGTTGTTGTAGTTCTTGGTGGCACACATTAGGGCACACGTCCATGAAAAGTCTGAGCGATCCTGATTCAAGATGGCAGATCGGAGGCACCCAGCACTTGTCTAAGCAGGTGCCTCTCTTTTCCATGAGATAGAATCTAAACCACTGGAACGTCACACCTGGTTCACCTGAAGCTAGACACCCAATCGCTGAGAATCCCAGGCAGTGGGGTCTCCATAAGGGAACAGAGGAAGCTTCCCCTTTGAAAACCTGTGGTTGGGGGAGTCTGCAGTGGGGTTGTGGGTGATTGAGCAGTCCTTTGTGATTTTGCCTGGGAGCTCTCACAACCAGAGTTGTGGGTGGGGGGTTGTGCAGGGCCTGTTGCCACCACTGCCACTACCCGCTACCCCAGCACAGACAGTCACGACTTCCTAGCCTCTCCCCATCCTCAGAGTGAGCAGCACAAAAGATGACAGAATCCTTGACCCATCACAGCTCCCCTTCCCCACGTCAGTGGCCTTAGAGTACACAGCACAAAGGGCCCCAGAGGGAGCTCATGCCACACAATTGCATGCCATGTAGCTTGGTGACACACTGCAGTGTCTGTGTCTCCTGGGATCTTGGAGTACACAGCCCAAATAACTGAGCCAATCTTTGCCTGGTGTCATAGTTTGGATACGAGGTGTCCCCCAAAACCTCCTGTGTGAATGCACAAATGACCAGAGGTGAAAGGATTAGTTGTGAGAGTTGTACCCCACTTAGTGGATTAATCCATTGGATGGATTAACAATTTGAAAGGACAACTGTACTAGGTGGTAACTGTAGGCAGGTGGGGCGTGGCTGGAGGAAGGAGGTCTCCAGGAATGTGTCTGTCCACCTGGCTCCTCCTCTGTCTGCTTCCTGGCTGCCAGGAGAGGAGCCACTTTCCTCCACCTTGCCCTCTCCCCACTGCAGGCAAAGAGCAATGGAGTCAGCTGACCATGCAGAACCCCAGCCTCTGCTCTCCCCAAAGGATGCACTGTCTAAGCAGATATGGAAAGAAGCTCTCATTGGCTTAGGGTGCAAACATCCAGCCTCACCTGCACAATTGAGCACCTTGGTAGCCAGGACGTTTTTATTTCTAATAATACTTTTTTCATTATTGCTGTTTTTATTTGCATATATGTTTCCCCCCTCCTCCTCCTTTTTATATTTTTCTATTAAATGACTTTTTAATTAATCAATTGTAATTAATCATCTGTGCAATTTTATTAACCTATGTTTATTTGCTGTTTATTCCAAAATTTCCAGAAGAATACTTATGTATATCCAGACAAAATTCTTTTTTGTTTTGTTTTGTTTTAGAAGTTTTATTGAGAGCTGGTAAGTAAAATTGTGTAACTTTATTTCGTTTTTTTTTTTTTAATGTTTCTGATTATATTTAATTTTGTTTTCTTTTTCCTTCTTTTTTTTCTGCTTTACCTTCTCCTTCTTTCTGACTTTTTTATTCTTTTCTTAATTTTTAATTTTTTTATTCTTTATTTTTCCTGGTTTTACTTATTTTATTTTATTTTGGTAGTGGAGATTGAACTCAGAGGCACTCAACCCCTAAGCCACATCCCCAGCCCTACTTTGTATTTTATTTAGAGACAGGATCTCACTGAGTTGCTTACCACCTCTCTGTTGCTGAGGCTGGCTTTAAACTTGTGATCCTCCTGTCTCAGCCTCCAGAGCCACTGGGATTACAGATGTGTGCCACCATGCCCAGCTACTCATTTTATTTTTATTATTATCATTTTTTAACCTTTTAGTTTATTCTGCATTGTTTTTATCCCTTCCTTTTCTGTTGTTGATGTTGTGGTAATTGTGTTGTTGTTATTGTTGTTGTTGTTGAACATGGACACAATATCTTTATTGTACTTATTTATTTATTTTATGTGGTGCTGAGGACTGAACCCAGTGCCTCATGAGTGCAAGGCAAGCACTCTACCACTGAGCCACAACCCCTGTGATTGTGGGTTTTATTTGATTTTTTAACAAGTTTTTTTTTAACAAGTTTTAAAACATTTTTCTATTCTTTTTTAATTTTTTCTTTTTAGTTGTACATGACAGTATTTTTTGGTTTTTACTTTATTCCTTTATCTGGCTTTTTGTTGTTGTTGTTGTTGCTGTCATTGCCGGTTTTCTTCTTTCTGTGTGGTGATGGGGATGGAGCCCAGCACTTCAAGCACATTGGGTGGGTGCTCTGCCAACGGAGCTCCATTTCCAGGACAGCTCAGAGACTGCACCTGATTTCAGCCATAACCAGCACCACTCAAACTTTGGTGGATACTTTAATTTAAAGAATACAGGAGATAAAAGCCTTCAATCACTGACCCTTGCCCAAGTAGGCACGGTTGGAAGGAATCCTGTAGTCCTAATACTGAACATTCACCCCCATAGCACCAACAGAAAGAAATAATAAACTGGTCATGGATACCACATCTCTGAGGACCTCAACATAGGTGGTTCCATTCCCTACCAGACTGTACATTACGGACAAGACTGAAGGAGTAATCACAAAGGGTATAGCCCATGTGTCCTGCTGTCTACATCTGCCTGAATTGCCAGAGGGACCCCGCTCTCTGAAGACCTGCAGAGAACTCAGGTCCATTAGGCTCCAACACAGTATGCATTGTGTCAAAACCCACTAATCACAACCAAAGCAGTCACAGGAAAACATTACGAAGTCCAATTGTAATTAGCCTCAATAATGCACAACGAACTATGTCCAGGGCACATCAACAAGAGAA